TGTTTTGTTGTATTGTGCATAGGGTCACTAAGGGTCAGAACCTACTCAATGGCACCTAACGAGAACAACAACATGTATGTGCTTATACATGTATACGTGTAACCCAGGTGATTTACTAAATGTCTGTGCTCCAGTCTCCTGACCTGTAAAACAGGAATGCTAGCCACAGTGCCTGATGGGGGTGCGTTGGAATTGACTTGATGACAGTGAGTTTGGGTTTGAGGTTTTGAGCCATAGAACCAGGCCTCATTGTTGGTTTTGGTAATTAAATGTGATCATCTTGATGAAGTGTTTAGGACAGTTCCTGACAGCCAGTAAGTACTCAATAAATACACTGTTTTAAAAACCACTGTGACCTTTTTAGTTGGGACCGGGCTGTGAGGAGTGTGTGGTTGTTTGCCTCTGTATTCAGTGGCTCCAGAGGACCTGACTTAGATGTGTTCTCCTGTTTGTTATGGAGATGGTGGTGGCAGTGGTGGTGGAGATGGTGGTGGTGATGGTGGTAGAGATGGTGGTGGTGGAGATGGTGGTGGTGATGGTGGTAGAGATGGTGGTGGTGGAGATGGTGATGGTGGTAGAGATGGTGGTGATGGTGGTGGTGGAGATGGTGGTGGTGGAGATGGTGGTGGTGGTGGAGATAATAGTGATGGAGATGGTGGTGATGGTGGTGGAGATGGTGGTGGTGAGGGTGGAGATAGTGATGGTGGTGGAGATGGTAGTGGTGGTGATGGTGATAAAATGGTGCTGATGGTGGTGATGGTGATGGTGGTGGAGATGGTTGTGATGGTGATGGTGGTGGAGATGGTGATGGTGGTTGAGATGGTGGTGATGGTGGAGATGGTGGTGGTAAAGATAGTGGTGGTAGAGAATGGTGATGGTGGTAGAGATAGTGGTGATGGTGGTGATGGTGGAGGTGGTAGTGATGGTAATGGTGGAGATGGTGGTGGTGGTGGAGATGGTGGTAGTGGTGGTGATGGTGATGAAAATGGTGGTGGTGATAGTGGAGATGGTTGTGATGGTGATAGTGGTGGAGATGGTGATTGTGGTTGAGATGGTGGTGATGGTGATGGT